CCTGGCCTTGGGCACTGCCAGGGATCCAGGGGCAGCCACAGCTGCTCTGGGCACCCTGTGCCAGGGCCTGCCGCCCTCACAGAGAATTCCTTCCCCAAAACCCATCTAACCCTGCCCTCTGGCAGTGAGAAGCCATTCCCTGAGTCCTGTCCCTCCATCCCTTGTCCCCAGTCCCTCTCTGGAGGGCCCTGCCAGGGGCTTTGAGCTCTTCCTGGAGCCTTCTCCTCTCCAGCCTGTCCCAGAGTAGAGGGGCTCCAGCCCTGGGAGCATCTCCGTGGCCTCCTCCGGACTCTCTCCAGCACATCCTTCTTGTCCTGGGCTCCCAGGGCTGGATGCAGCATTCCAGCTGGGGTCCCACGGGAAGAATCACTTCCCTCAATCTCCCATTCATTTTCAGTGTTGCACTTCTGGGTCATGTTGAGTTCCTCACTCACCAACACCCCCAAATCCATCTCCTCAGGGCTGTTCCCAGCCCATTCCCCACCCGGGCTGTATCTGTGGGACTGCCCCAGCCCCTGTGCACATTTGCCAAGGAGCTCAGGTGTTTCTCACTGTGCTTTTCCCTACAGATTTGCTCCTTCTTCAAGCTGTGAAACAGAGAGCATCAAAGTGTTTGATGGTGCCTCCACTGCTTCAGCTCTCCTTGGCCAAGTGTGTGATGGCACAGATGCAGTCCCAGTGCTTGAATCCTCCTCTGACAGTTTAACTTTTCTCATTACAACCAACTCTGTGCCTTTCACAAGAAACTTCTTCGTCTACTACTACTTCTTTTCACCAGGATCAAGTAAGCCATTAAATATCTGAACTGCAGCAATGAAACATAATTTAAAAAAACTTTGATCAGCCTCACTCAGGTCTTCAGGCCTCAGAGAACAGAGTGGGACAAAAATCAGTGAAAGAGGCACAAGCAATGTGTTTGCAGAGATCCCAAAAAGTTAAATTTAACTTAGAAAAGTGATGGCAAAGGTGACATTATGGGACTTGACTTTTACTTCCAGACTTCTATGAAATGAACTCAGCTTGCAAATATTACAGCATTTACCCAGGAGAATTTTACCATCTAGTCAGAACTCCTGCCAAGAACAGATCACAGAAGGATTTAAATTTAAAAAGCTCCTTACTCTTTTTCTTTTGAAAGATAAGAACAGCTTGAACAAAATCAATCTTAGCTTGTGACCAGCCCCTTTGCTTCTGCTGACCTGGTGGCACGGTATTAAGCTCTTAAAAACTTAATTTTATATAGTACTTACCAAATCCCAGTTCATGATGCTCCAGTCTTTAATTTTACTGCTGAAAGATTCTGCCCTGTTTCTAGTCTACATTTGTCTGAGGTTCCACTGGTTTGATTTTTTTTGCCTTTTTCTAGCAAGTAAAATCTCTCTCATACTTGCAGATTTTGCACTTCCATACAGATAATGTGTGGTTGGTGTAGCATCTTCATTAGCAGTTTTTCAAGAGGGGATCAAATTTATGCGAAATGTGGATAAATGTGGCTCTCCCTAAGCTGCTCCCAGTTAACCAAAGTTAACTCAAAGTTAACACCAGCTCAGGTGTCACCACACTGAGCCTCACAGAAATAATGACCACTGGCTCCATTTTGTAATTCCACCTCAAATTCCCTACAGAATTTCCATCTTTAGTGCCTTTAATCATTTCCAAAGGAATGGACTCCTAAAGAATAAATCCTGATAGCTGCATAAGGTTTGGGGGTTTTTTATATGACTCATTATATGACTTATTCTGTTATCAATATATCTCCTCTTCTTTCCAGGAACTGAAAATTGTGGGGGAGAATTAACTGGTCCCAATGGGACATTCAGCAGCCCCAACTACCCAGCGCCTTACCCTCAATTCAAATACTGTGTCTGGCACATACAAGCACCAAAAAACTCCAAGATAAACTTGGAGTTCCAAGACTTTTTGTGAGTAAATTCCCTATTTATATATATATATATATATATATATATATATGTGTGTGTGTGTATATATATATGTATATATATATATATATGTGTGTGTGTGTGTATATATATATATGTGTGTGTGTGTATTTTAATTTATTTCTATTTATATTATGTATATTTTTATATATCCATATATTCCTATTTATACATATATTTATAAATGCTCTATTTCTCTTTATATATTCTGTTTACAGACATTACTTTGTTAAGTACAGGAAGAGGTGCTCTTTAACTTTTAGAACCTCTGTACACTTTTAAAATAAAGAGTTATGATAAACTGTTATGATAAAATGATTGTTTTACATCCCTGTACATTTCCCTAAAGCAGCTGCAGTGCCAGTCAGGGAAATGCAGAAAACATCTCTGGTGACCAGCCACGAGGTGCAGGTCCATTTCTTGAGATATTCAGACTGCAGGATGCCCTGCAAGAATTCAGTATGAAATGAGCAGGATTCCACAGGAAACCTTTACCTTGACCATTGCCCTCTGAGATGATAAACTCTGCACAGGGTGCAATATGCTCTGAGCATTCCTGGCCAGGGTGCATCTCTAATTCTGGGAGAATCCACCCTCCACTGGTGAAAAATTGCAAGAATATTCCTCTGTGATACACTCAAGAGGTTTGAGAAGCCAACTCTACACTTTTAAAATTATACATATAATATTTTTATATGTTTTCTTTGGTTTTAACAACATCTATTTGTGGTGTTCTGTTCTCCATTCTATTACCTCAGTTGAGTGGAACTCTCAGACGCTTTATCTGCACTGGATCCTCTATCCAGTACAACCAAAGATTTCCCTGTAATGATTTTTTTTCCTGTGTCTGCAGCCTGGAATTGGACAGAAACTGCCAGCTTGACTTCACAGCAGTCTATGATGGGGCCAGCACTGCCTCTGGGTTGTTGGGGAAAGTGTGTGGGCATGCCCAGCCCACCTTTGAGTCTTCTTCCAACGCGCTGACCGTTGTGCTGTCCACAGATGACACCAACTCCTACAGAGGATTTTCAGCTCAGTATTCCACTGCTCCCCTGCCAGGACCCATGGAGCCCAACAGTGAGTGCCTCTGCTTCATGGGGAGGATGCTGATTCTTTTTAATAATGTGATTCTTCTCTTACAAACATCCTAAAGAACTGGTGGTTGATACTGAGGAGTTAAGACTTTCTATCGCTAACCCCTTTTAACCCCTTTTACACACAAAAATCCCACATTATCTCACCTATAGAGCATAAGTTACTTCCTGACCCATGTGCAAAAGAAAAACAGTTCTTTCAATTTTGGGTGCTTTTTTTCTGGCTGACATCACTTAAAATCAAAATTTTCCTTCTTTTGTGCAAAACATTGTTACCATGTTAAGATGCAAAGATAAACTGCTATTGTCTGGTTAGTTTAAATGGCTTTGTTGCCTAAGGCACTCAGGAATTTTCCTGGTCTGCACTGGGCAGTCAGAGTTTAGGTGTGTTGTAATTTCCTTTCCCCCTGAGCTGGGCCTTATTTTCCTTATTGGTCCTATATCCTTGCATGCCCATCTTCCCATTAATTGAGGTGGAAAGGAGTTTCTAAAGCCTCAGTGCCTGAGATAAATCAGTTTCTTTACCCACCATTCTGCACCAGCACTTTGATTCATTTTCCCTTTTAAAAATGCAAAGACCCTTCTGTGTTACTGGGTTTTAAATTAAACTTTCAGCATAAGTTTTATGGGGTTTTGCTCTAATTCTGAAGTTGAGCATGAAATTTTGGTGCAACTTCTGCATGATCTCAACTGGGCATGAACTTTTTCACTGACAAATCCAGAATCATGTGACAATTTCAAGGATGTAGACAAAGTGAGACATGACCACAGCAGTTTGTCCTAATGTGTTTCTGGTTTTGTTTGATTCTTTTTCAATGGCAGCAACCCTTACATGCTCCTCAGACAGCATGAGAATTGTTCTGAGCAAGCCTTACCTGGCCTCCCTTGGCTTTGGGGAAGCTCACCTGCAGCTGAATGATCCATCTTGCAGACCAGTTGTGACAGATTCAGTGATCTTCTCCTTCCCATTGGCCAGCTGTGGGACAATTAAAAAGGTAAAGGGGATAAAAATATCAATAAGCTAACAAGAGCTTAGGAAAGATAAGAGCTAGTAGAAGCAGTGTATAAAGAGCATGTGAGTAAATTGATTTTAGTTTCACTCAGCTCACCCCATTCCATGTTTCCTGTCTGGAAGTACAAAGAACACTTTTTCCTCTTTAGGAATCTGATGATCAATGAACCTTTCAAAAGAAATATGGGGGAATCCACACAAATTAACCCCCCCAAAAGATTCCCAAGAGCCAGTTGATAGCACTGTTTTGATAAGGGTGACTGGAGCATAGCTTTAGTACTTCCCACACTCCATGCACTATTCTTTAACCTTGTTGCTGCCTGGATTGGTTCAGTGTTTAGAAAAAAACAAGTGGAGGGTTGATAAGATTTTTTGGCTGCAGCCTGTTTCACAGTTCCAAGACTCTGACAAGGACAGCTGGGCAGGTGTGTAAGTTTAGTTACAATTCCTTAACTATTCCTTAACCTTATTTCTGCCTGGATTGGTTAAGTGTTTAAGAAAAAACAAGAGGAGGGTTGTGACGGTGTTCGCAGGGGTCTTAAGATGAGGGAAGAGATGAGAATGTTGACTCCAGGTTTCAGAAGGCTGATTTATTATTTTTTGATATATATTATATTAAAACTATACTAAAAGAAGAAAGGATTTCATCAGAAGACTAGCTAAGAATAGAAGAGAAAGAATGATAACAAAGGCTTGTGACTCGGACAGAGTCTGAGCCAGCTGACTGTGATTGGCCATTAATTAGGAACAACCACATGAGACCAATCCCAGATGCACCTGTTGCATTCCACAGCAGCAGATAACCATTGTTTGCATTTTGTTCCTGAGGCCTCTCAGCTTCTCAGGAGAAAAAAATCCTAAGGAAAGGATTTTTCAGAAAATATCATGGCTACAGAGGGTTGATAAGATTTTAGCTACAATTCCTCTCAGCTGCTGTGCTGGTGCAAGCCCAGCTGAGCCCTGGCACGTTCCTTTCCCAGGATGAAGGGCACAGCATCACTTACACCAACACCATCTCCCTGGCTGCAGCTGGCAGCACCATCACCCGCCAGAGGAGCGCCGAGATCACTGCACAGTGCACCATGAGCAACAATGAAACCCTGGAGCTCATCTACACCACAACAAACAATGCCATCCAAAAGCTGGCTGCAGGGGGGAGGTACAACGTCAGCATGGCCTTCTACGAGTCAGATCTGTTCTCCAAGCCCGTGCAATACTCCCCATACTACGTGGACTTGAACCAAACTCTCTTTGCTGAGGTGACTCTTCACTCCACTGATCCAAATCTCCAGGTGTTCATTGATACCTGCACTGCATCTCCAGAGCCTGGCTTTGGATCACTGACATACGACCTAATCAGGAGTGGGTAAGGCTGATTTTATTACACTCTCCTAATGTGAGAGGAAATGGCATCTAAATGTCAGCTGCACTTCTTCTATTATTTATTTTATTTATTTTTGTCTCTTCCACCTACCTTCTTTAGTAGACTGTGATTGGAACTGAGTTGCAGATAAATTTAAAGATGTTCCACAAATAGAGCTAGGAAAAATATCCACATCATGCTGGGCAGAGGCAAAAAAGCACATCATTGTATGCCCACATGTAGAACAGTGCCCTGGTTAAATGCTGTGGTTACAGCTCTCAGGACTCATCCAGAATGATTACTCCAAGTGGACTCTTTTAACAGACCTGCACATCCTTTTGCAGCTGCAATAAAGATGACACTGTGGTAACCTACCCAGCGTTTGAAAACCATGGAAGATTCAAATTTAGGGCCTTCAGGTTCCTGAGGAGCTTCCCATCAGTTTATCTGCAGTGTGACATTGTCATCTGTGACAGCAACAGCACCAACTCTCGCTGTGCCAGAGGCTGCATCTCCAGGCACAAAAGAGCCATCTCTCCCTACACATGGAAAACCAACACTGTGGTGGGGCCCATCCGCCTGAAGAGAGATCCCAGGGCTGCTGAGCTCTCAGGTGAGAGGGGAAAAATAAAAAAATAAATGTATCTATGTGTGCACTTCACTCAGTTTTGTTGCTGGTACTCCAGAAAATAAGCACAGCTGACTGACTCCAGGGCAGGTTAAATCCTCCCACTGCGTGCACAGAACAGGAGGAAAAAGGAGCCTTGAGAGCAGAAACCAAAAGCACCATGGCTTTAAATCAGAGCTGCAGAGGAGTCTGTAAGACAACTAAGCTTTGGTGCCACTTGCAGTCTGATCTGCATTGGTCAGGTACTGAGAGAAAAGAGAAACTACAAAATATGGAAAAGTTATTTTTAAAAGCTTGTATTGCTGCTCCCACTGTGCTCATTGATCTTTATGGAGCCCAAAGCTTCACCTGAGAAAAGAACATTGGGCCATTTGCTTTCAGGTATCAGAGCTAGGAAATATTTAGAATTAATCTTGCTCTTAATAGTAATTAGAATATTTTCTTTTTAAAAAATTATTAACCTTTCTAAATTAGAGCAACATTTTAGATATGTTTCCATTTATTTCAATAAAGATTTTGCATCCATACACATGGAAGTGAACACATCTCCAACTCACAGGCAAATATAAAGCAGAATGAGTTTTACTGAGAAGCAGATAGGAAACCACTAATTGGGGTTTTTTTTGCCCAACTTTGATTCAGCAAATGTCTCAAGTCTCTCTCATGGTGACAGCACTGCTTGGCAGAAACTTTGCTGCAGCAATACCAAAGAACTGAACATCATAATGATCTGCAGGATTGTTTTATTAGCAATTTTTACAACTCTTCAGTATTACTATTCAGGATTTCAGTTAAATCATACAGTGTTCTAAACTTTAAACACTTATTTTTTCTCTCTACACAGAATACCTCACTGAAGTGGAAGCTGAAAAAACACCAAACCTGCAGCAATACAACTTCCACACTCTGGCATTTGTGGTTTTAATTTCAAACATTCTCATTGTGGTAGCTGTGATACTGAAGCATCACAAGCACCAGGGAGGATACAGGTATCAAAATGTCCAGAGCTCATTGTAACTACTTCTGGAGATTTCTACTTAGTGTCAACTGCTCTTCATATTTGTCACCCAGAGAGAGGAAAAAACAAAAAGTCATTAAATTAACAGCATTGGAACTCAATACTCAGAAATTCATTTTGTTATCAAATAAAATCCAAACCCAAAAACATCTCAATTTAATACTCTGTCTCAAGTTACTGAGTTGTAAAAGTGTGTATACCTCAGGACAGACTTTATGCCTTCACAGGTACAAAGTACAAGATAATTAAGATAACTTTTTGTCTTTAAAAAAATCTTTTTCTCTTTTTGAATCACTTTGAAAGTGCACCTGGCAGGAGTTAAGATCAGGGACAACTGCAAGATGTCTTTTCAGAGCAGAATATCCTCTCTTCCAAATCTGCTTCTGTGTGTTCACTACCACCAGGATCTGACAGTCTTCAAAATACATCACTTTTTCTGGAGAGGGAAATATCAGGCAGAGTAAATAAAGAAAGTGGCTTGCACATGCTTATGCTGACTTTGAGTCAACACTTGCTTCCCCATCAAGAGCTTCTGTCAAAAATGTTTGTGGGGATTACCATGAAGTCCCTACACCCTTCAATTTGCACCCCAGAATCCAAGAACAAACAGAATGAAGTTTGAAACTCAAGCTGCCACAGAGGAGGGGTTTGGAGTCACATTCCTACCTCCCCAAATGACACCAAAACTGATCCCAACAGGTTAAAGGAAATGTGATGCAGCAAGGAAAACTCCTCTGGAGCTGCCCCAGCACATCTGTCTGGGAGCAACACCCACTTGAGAGGAGCCATGGCTGAAGTACTTGCACTTCTTGGGATAATGAAACCTGGATAAAGCCTGCTGAGTGTGCAATCATTTCACTTGTTCCTGCACACTCAGCTAGCTTAGGATGGAAAGAACTATCAGAATCTTGTTTTATGCATCTCTTAAGAAGCCTGGATTCCTAATTCAGGTGCCTGTACAGCCAACAAGGCTTCCAAAGGACCCAGCCTGGGTTCACATTCCCCCAGCTCTCCAAAGACAGCTCCACAAACTAGGCAATCCCAAATCAGGCAATGACAATCCAACCTTCCTTTTAGAGATGGAACAACAAATGTCTTCAACAGGAGTGCCAATAAAGCAAAAGCACAAACTGCATTCTGTTCTACTGACAACACACTTCACATCAAAATTAATACAACAAAAAAAAGTGAGCTGATTACATGTAGGTACAAAGATAAGCAGTAACTCAGTTTATTTAGAGCACTCCATTGTTCAAACTGGAACTGGGGGACTGCTCATACAGCTTCTAGCAATGCTCTTTAAATAAATAAGCCACAAAGGCCATACAAAACTCTTATATTTAGGAAAAAAACATTCTTAAGATCTTTCATAAAACTACCAAGTGTGTACAACAGCGGATAGAATTACAGTAACAAAATGCAAGTTAACAACACTGAGGTTTTTCATAGTTTGAACTGCATAAATACTGAGCTTTGTGAAGTGTAATTAATTACTCCAGGTATTCACACTGAACCCCACCTGTGAACCCCTCTATCTCTCCCCATTAGAAAACCCCTCGTTAGAGTCATAGTGTGCTTGGGAAATTTTGTTTGGTTTTGAGTTCTGAACCAAGTCCATCAAGAGAAACATTTTATTGTCTATGTGTGTCTGAAGAGCCTGGATTTGGCAGTCAATATAGTCCATTAGCTTCTTCTCCATCAGATCCAGGTTTTTTGAAATGATCTTTTCCAAATAGGAGCAAATGGGCTGTTGTTCCACTCTGTAAGAAAAGCAAAGACAAGAATAAGTATAACCTATAAGAATAAGTATAATCTATTTCTTAATGACAAGGGGCAATATAGAGATCTGGGCACATGAACATCTGTTAAATGTAAAATTTCATTTATTAGGCAATGAGCTTTGAAAGGCATTAGGTTTTTAGGACAAGCAAAATACCTTGCCTGCCACACTTTAAATCTAATTTTTTCATAAACATGGTACTGTATGTAGTCATCTTCTTTCAACCTTGTTTTTTCAAAGGCTCAAATATGCATTAGAGAGCTTAATTACATAAAACAAATCCACACAAGTCAATATACACAGTTTGTATTCTGTCAGCATGGAAGACTGTTCTTGTCAGCAAAAGTGCTTCAAGAGTTATAAAACTATGCAACTCTCTGGGTTTGTATCTGCATTCTGTACAAATACTGCAGCTGAGACATTCAGTCTCCATTAAATCCTGATTCCCACATCTCAGGGGTTCCACTATTGTTCCTGAGGTACCAAACTGGGGAACTGTGACACCTGCACTGTAAATGCCAACAAGTGAGGAGGAACAGGAAAATCAGTGGGATGATTCACACCAAGTACAGCACAAAGATTGTGGCACACTGTGTGAAAAAGGGAAGATGTGAGAATTTAGGGGTAAAAGTAATCAAACTGGAAATGTAGTATATGAGAAAGACAAGCTAAATGTGTATGAAGAAACATGCTTTTAAATTACATTAAATGGAAGCAGAAGATGTTATAGATGGAGAATGAGATGACTGGCTCTCACAATAGAAAATAACTATTGTGTGAATATTAAGAACAGCTTTAGTGATGTACAGTTATGTTATTGTGGTTTAGGTGTCCTCTGTTCTCCCCCTTCCCAGCCCTGGATTGTGACCATCAGACAGCCAGGGTTGTCTAAGACAGGCAACACAAAACAGTTTAGTAACAAATGATGTGACTTTTTCTGAAAAACTCCTACATTCAAAAAAGTTGTGAAATTGAAAATTTGTAATGTTCATCACCACACGGCCTTCAAAACCACATATTCTAAGATTCACTGTGAGAAGAAAATTACATTACACATTTTGTTTAAACCTGTCAGCAAATATTCAATACTACTTGGAGAGATTCACCAAACATAACTCACCCAGCACTCTGAGCAGTCTCCTCTTTGGCCACTGCACTCTTCCCGAGGTGCCTCTCTCCATCCCTGAGCCGAAGGTGATTCACCTGAGTGCACAGGTTTTGAAGAAAAGGAATAAGCACCTGTGGGTTGGCCAGGTTTGGAGTTTCACCTGCTTGCTGCTGCATGTGCAGAGATCCCATGACTTTCAAATCATTCCTGAGGTCAGCTGCATTTTGCTGGGTAGGAAGTCTTTCAGAATCCAAAGTATTCCCTGTTTCAGGTAGCTCTGAGTTCAGATCACGAGTTATTTTTACATCTCTATACACTGCCTCACTTGTTAAATGATTTTTAACAGGCAAAGGTTCACTGGTTGGTGGATTCAGTGATGACTGCAGAGCTGCTCTGTGCATTCCATCTAGTGCATGGTCACCTCCAAAGCCAGAATTCCTCCCCATAATCCAACTGAGCTTCTCTCCAAAAGGGAAACTGTTCTGAAGGAGAGAAAAACCCATTTGAGTATTTGAGATTTCAGATATACTGGAAATTATACAGCAAAAACAACAGATCCATTATAACCCTGCACTCCACTAGTAAAGGTTTTTAAAATAATTTTGAACTGCATTTCTTGTTAAGTATGAAGTATTAATTATCTTGTCAGTGTCTAAGTAAGAAAAGAGCTTTACTGACTTCATTTTTACCATGCTGTGTCCCCAAAACTGAATTATTGACATAAGATGGATTTAGGATTCTTATAAATATATATATACATATATATACATATACATATATACACATATACATACATACACATATATATACATATATATACATACACACACACACATATATATGTATATGTATATATATATGTATGCATGTATATATATGTATATATATAAAATGACCACTAAAGAGACAAACCAGCCCATCTATCTACACCCCAAACATTCCAGGGAAAATGCCCACCATCCTTAATGAGCAGTGAAGCTTAAAATTACAACAATACTAATGCTAACATTAATAATAATAATAATAATATCCTGGAGAAAATAGTCTTTACTCCCTGCACTCATTTGAGTGGCAACAGTTAAATCAGGATGAAAATGGCAGAAAGTACAGATTAAAAAACCCCAAAATCTTTTTAAAGCATTCCTAACTGGTGAAGTGTCTGTGGAAAAGTGACTTACCTTCTGCTGACACCGGACCATGTCCATGAGCTGCTGAGCACCTGGAGACAACTTAGATCCCATGGATTCCATTATAGTTTGCACTCTGTCTAGATCTATGCTTGAGCCTAGTGAGGGAAAATCAGTTGCTAGTTTTGCAGACACTGCTTTCACTTCTAGAATTATTTTATTGATGAGTACTCTGTGTTTCTCACCAAAGGAGAGCAGCTATTGCAAGAAGGAAAAAAGGAATACTTTGGTTAGGGAAAAAACCATTTCATGTTTTCCTTGTACATAGGGGACAATGCATTGCTCTTTGAGTCTTGAGAAAAATTATGATGAGCTCTTTTCCAGGGAAATTAAGCCAATTTCTCTTTGCTATTGTTCCCCATAAAATTCTGACTGGAACAGAGGTGCCTGAGTACCCCAAAGACAAATTTCTAAGCATTTAAGAGTGGTTGCCACACAATTTTCACAAACTTATTTAACCCCAGACCTGACAGCTCTAATCACAAATCTGCAGTTTATCTGGGTTATGTTTTTTTTTCTCTAAGACTAATTTATCTGTACCACATAAAGTCTTCACAAAAAGAAAACTGACATCAATCTAAAAGCAGCACTCTGCCATCAAGACAAAGTACCAGCCAACAGATTTTTAAGTGATTATGTCAAGAGATGAAGTGTATAAAACCAATAATTTTACTAAGAGCAATGCAATTAAGTAGATTAAGTGATTAAAAAGATAGGAAAAAAATTAAAACAATGCTGTTCAACTCCCTACCTTAATTCTACAGGAGGCTGCAGGGCATTCAAACTTAAGGTACTTGTGGTATAAAGTAACCTCTTCAGTTTCACTAGAAAAACAAAATTAACAAGCTGTGACATCAATTTACAAGGTACTTTTCTTTTGTAGAAATACACTATATTGGTAAATATTTAGATAAGAAACAAGACTGACTGAAAGACGTTTCTAATGCAGATTTATGGTTCCCAACAGCACTTTTAGTTTCTAGGTTTTAGCACTCTTTTACTTTCTAATAGCAGCTTTAGTGCTTATACACGACTTGTAATGAATCTTATGAAATATTTATGTAAAAATTACTTGTATGTGTGCTTGCACTGTGCACTAGAGAAGCTTTTGAGGTTCTGTACATTATTCACCCATCCTCCCTGAGGCTCTGAGTCGGCTGGTTTCTAGTTAGCTAATTAAGCAGCAGATGTGCCATGTAATGACTTAAAAACAAAATAGAAACATCGCTTTATTTCCCCTGGCAAAGCATGGAAGGAAGTGTTGAAGGGGAAAACAAAACCTTCTTTTTAAAATTTTCTCTTTTGTTCTTTGAAGTTGACATGACTACTTATCACAGAGACTTCCAGAGAACTCAAGAATGGGCTGGGTTGGAAGGAACCTTTAAAGACACCCAGTGCCACCCCTGCCATGGCAGGGACACCTCCCACTGTCCCAGGCTGCTCCCAGCCCTGTCCAGCCTGGCCTTGGGCACTGCCAGGGATCCAGGGGCAGCCACAGCTGCTCTGGGCACCCTGTGCCAGGGCGTTTCCACCCTCATAGGGAATTTCTTCCCAATATCCCATCTAACCCTGCCCTCCGGCAGTGTGAAGCCATCCCCCCATCCTATCTCTCCAAGCCCTTGTCCAAAGTCCCTCTCCAGCTCTCTCGCAGCCTTTCTAGGCAGTGGAAATGGCTCT